TCTTTACTTGTAAATTGCATAAAGCATCATGATAATACCTCACTGCTGTGTTATTTAGGCCTATCTTCTTTTGTTTGAATGGTCAAAGCTTGTTCAAGGAAATGTATAGATGCCTGACACAGTATAGTTTAACATAATATGGATAAATGAAACAAAGTATCTGGAAAAAAGAAAAAAAAGTGTATATGCTGAAATAATATGCGATATTATATTCTGTTGTCTTTTCCTTTTCTCCATGAGTAGAAGGTCGAATTTCTCTTTTTTTGTGTTATAAATGAAAAACCAAAGCAAATCCGGATTATATATCATCATTTTTAGGACACCATTATCGTGGATACCTATCTATTTCCTTCAGTTATATCATTACATAATAAAATTATCAATTCAGCACCTTTTGTAAAGAATTAAAAATACAGAGTGAATACTTTCAGAATAATAATATATAGTATACATGTTTCTTGTTTTTCTTGTACATATAAATAAACTAAAAACGGGGACACGAACCAAATGGTTACGTCCCCATCAAATGATATTTTCCCTTTCCATCCTTTGACTCTAGTGGAACATGTATTTTTAATATTTGCAAGGAGTGTAGTTAACATGAAACAAATGGTATAATTATGTCATATACAAGTTTGCAATCTTTATTAATGTAATGAGTTTAATGTAATGTTTCTACAAAATTGAGGAAAGGGAACAATTCACAAGATACCTTGACGGTTTGTTTAAACATCCGTGTGTTTATTAGATATTTGTGTCTGTGCATATACATAAATCATATATATATATATATATATATATATATATATATATATATATATATATATATATATATATATGTATGTGTGTGTGTGTGTGTGTGTGTGTGTGTGTGTGTGTGTGTGTGTGTGTGTGTGTGTGTGTGTGTGTGTGTGTGTGTGTGTGTGTGTGTGTGTTGTGTGTGTGTGGGGGGGGGGGGCGTGTGTTTGTGTGTATGGTGTGTGCGTGTGTACGTGTGCAAGGTAAGGTATCATAACTTCGGAGTTCTGCGTCGCTTTGGGTGATAAGACGAATTACGTCACTTAGAGGTGACTGAGGAGGGGGATGGATTAGAGAACGGTAGACTGGGAGAAGGAGATAATAGAAAACGGTCGCAAACTGAGCAAACACTAAATTAATTTTAGATGCTGGCTCATTCCGGCAATTTTACACACTGGACTGGTGATTTACAACAATTATTTGTGGGCATATTTATCATATTTTACTTGGTTTCAACTTTATATTTCCTCATGCTGCAGCTTAGGTATGTTATAATAAGGAAGTGATTTGAACAAAGAATACATGGAATATGAATGGTAATATTGTTTTATTCTATCGTGGCATATATGTAAAATACAAACACTTTCCACGAATGTTATTATGAGAAAATAATAATACAACTAATTTATCACAACACACATTAAAATTTAATTATAAAATCAAAGTAGAGCTAATATATGTATATATAATAATAATAACAACAACAACAACAACAACAACAACAATAATAATAATAATAATAATTATTATTATTATTATTATCATTATTATACATACACATAAACATCTATACACATATAATATAAATGACAATAAATACCTAACTAATGTTAGTTAGGCTTGATCATGCGAGATATATAAATCTTATTATTTAAGCTGAGCATCCCGAAATACGTGCGACAAACTATTCATAATATTCATTTTGAGTATCAAATCCTATAGTTAGTTTAGTGAGTCTGCCACTCACCTGATAGACTGCGGGGACTTTCCCTGGGTATGTGCCTGCCCATAGCTGCCCAAACATGTTATATGGGATTTAAATCTAGTGATTCAGGTGGATGTAGCAACACAAAATCAATCAACATTTGAAGCATTACAAACACGCCCGATTTATTTAAGCCACGGACAGCAGAGGTCATGCATTACTGTATTTCGCTTTACTGTCACGACAATTACAGGTAATTAACGTAACCGTTAATTACCTGTTCCCATGCATTGCATGCATGGGAACAGCCGGACAGCAATGAAGGGCAAAAAATGGTGACGGAAGTAGTGGCATAGATATCACGACGTCTGGAGGCTGTTTTAGAGGCAGGGAGAGGGAATACAAATTATTATAATTATAAAACCATTTTATTTTCCTTTTAATCAACACACTAATACTAAAGAACTAATATACATTATTATAAAGAAATTTATGTTAACAGTTGAACTGCGTTATGCTCCGAGAGGGTTGCACAGAAATGAGCATGGAAAATAACATAAGAAGACATGACTGCTCTTTATCATACGGCGACATCGGATGAATCAGAAATCGAAATGGTGAATACCAACTTTTGATTTGTCCATATGTAAAAACAGCATATTTCAGTTATAGGCATTTGGTAAAAGAAAATCTTTCGGAATGATTCTTATACATAAACAACGAGAATAAAAACTGAATACGACTTGCCTCTCATTTCCTAGAAAAGAAATGAGTCTC